ATAGTTAGCTGAGGACGACCTTGTAGACTACATATTATTTCACTCAAGTCTGAGGGCATGTGACATGAAAATCCTGCACGTGGTAGCGTAGCTGGTTGAGGCACTATGCCACAAGCCGGAAGGTTTTGCGATCGAATCCTGATAAGGTCATTGGATTTCTTCAATTTACCTAACCCTTCTAGCCGCACAATCGCCCTGGGGTCGACTCATCCTCTAACAGAAATGAGTACCAGGAATATACCTGGGGGAAAGGGCGGTCGGTGCATAAGACTGACAACCTTACCGCCAACTGTGAGCCGATTGTCTCACAACCCCATAGGCTTCCACGGTCTGTTACAGGTACACCTTTACCTAATTTTTTACCATCCTAGTATGCAGTAGGATAAAGCAGAAAAATTGAACATGAACTGAAATAACACATATCTTAAGATGGGAATGTAATGTACTACATTATATGAGGGGCAGTCAAAAAGTTCCCTGAATGGTAGTGGTATAGCACTCTAATTGTAGGACATACGGAACGCTTACAAAATCACCTTCAAAGTAGGACCCTTGCGCGCGCACACTTGCTCCATCGATCCTACCAGTGTTTGAAGCAGCAGTGGAAGGCTTCTTCTGGCATCTTCTGGAGCTCAGCCGTCGCATTCGATTTGATGTCCTCCATGGTTGCGAAACGTGTCCCCTTGAGGCTCAATTTCAGAGTAGGAACAGCCAAAAGTCACTCGGAGCGAGATCCGGAGAGTACAGTGGTTGAGTGATGACAGGTATCTTTTTCTTGGCGAGGAATTGCTGCACAACATGCGATGTGCGGCTCGGTGCGTTATCATGATGCAGAAACCACTGTCCCTGCCACTTGTCGCGCCGCTTCCTCTGAACCACATCGCGGAACCTCTGCAAAACTTGCATGCAGAAATGGCCAGTAACAGTACCAACTCCACGATGGTTATTTGTCGATCACACCGAATCAGTTATCGCACTTTTCCAATCATTTCTTCGGTTCTGAATGTTGAAGGTCTCCCGCTGCGCTGGTCATCCTCTAACGTCTTCTGCCCGTTCCTAAACCGGGAAAACTAGTCGTAAACTGCGGATTTCTTTAGTGCAGTATCACTGTAATCTTGCTGTAGGGCCGATAGCGTCTCTGAAGCAGATTTTCCCAAATTGCACATGAACTTGATGTTCGAACTGCGACATTGCGCCGAATGACCACTTTCTCTAATTCAAACAGAACAGTAACGACACTGCACACTGAAACCTGTTGCGCCTGCGAGCAGACATGCTGAGCTCCCCACCACAACAATGTGTGTGCTATCTTATCGCTCGTTCTCCGTCTGCAGGGGAATTCCAGGAACATTTTGACTGCCCTAAGTAGCACAGAAAATTTCTTCAAATGTTTCAGCCAACCTCTACTCAATTACAGTGACTGAAATTGAAACTTTACTTTCAAGTCAGAAGGCATGTAATACCTGTACCATCTTAGTATGCAGTAGGATAATGCAGAAAAAACTAAATTCAACTGAGATAATATATGGGGCACTCTGAATTACTGCCACGGAGGGTTTCCTTGGCCTATAGTTTTCATACCTTTTGTGCCACTAAATGCGTGTATGTTGCAGGTTCTATTCTGCAGCTATTATTAAAGAAGCAAAAACTTTTTGAGTTACACTTTCATATTCTATCAGCAGTTTTATTTCATTATTTAGTGTTTGATTATTACAGGCCAAGAAAAATCCCGACAATAAATGAGAATCATAGAGATGGGAGACAATGTATATACACTGAAGTGCCAAAAGTCATGGGATATGTACCTAGTATTGTGTAGGACCCCCTCTAGTCCGGGGAAGTGCAGCAGCTCGACGTGACATCGATTCCAGAAGTGGACAGAAGACTTCTGGAGAGATGCCGACAGCCCCCTGGTATTTTTGGGTGTGAATGGGCCTCTCCACCACGTCCCATAAATACTCGATTGAGTTCATGTCGGGCGAACGTGGTGGCTACACCATTCGTCGGAACTCTCCAGAATGATCCTCGAACCAATTCTGGACAACTCCTGTCCGTTGACATGGTGAATTGTCCTGCTGGAATATCCCATCGTTGTGGGGGTACATGAAGTCCATGAAGGGCTGCAAATGGTCAACAAGCAGTGTAACGTAGCGGTCACCGGTCAATGACGCATTTAGGTGGACGAGCAGATCCAACTCATGCCACGTGAATACACCCCACACCAGTATGGAACCACCACCAGCCTGCACGGTGCCTTGTTGACAACTGGGGTCCATGGCCTCATGGAGTCTGCGCCACACTCGAACCTTACCATCCGCCCGAAACAACTGGTACCGTGACTGATCGGACCACGCCACATGTTGCCAATCCTCCAGGGTCCAATTAGGGACGTCACAAGCCCAGGTGAGGCGCTGTGTCCGGTGTCGTGGTGTTAACAGATTCAATCTGGTCGGTCTTCTGCTCCCATATCCCATGGAAACTAAAGAACGCTGCACTGACCTGCTGGATATGCGTCTGGTACCTCCTGCATTGAATGTGGATGTGATTTCAGCCAGTATCGTTTGTCTGTTACCACCGACAATTCTAACTAGACGCCGCGGGTCACGATCATTAAGCAGCCGTGGTCGACCACTGCGCTGTCCACGGTGGGTGGAAATGCCTTCCACAAGGCATTCCCGGTACACAAGTGACACCATGGATCGAGTAATGTTGAATGACCGCACAACTTCAGAAATGGAATGTCCCATCCGCTTGGCACCCAGTCATGCCCCGTTCAAACTCCGATAATTCACGTCGGCTTGCCATGGGCAGACTGGCCGGTGTTCAACCTGACTCATGAGAAAACACCTCACAACTGATACTGCTCTGGGCAGGGACGGTGCACTACCTAAAAATAAATTTACATCCTGCTATCCCATTACTTTTGGCACTTGAGTGTATATACATATACAAATACATTATTGTACAGAAAATATTTTCAAATAGATATTAAACCCCGTAGTCAATTACAGTGACTGAAATTAACCCTTTGACGCGGTCATTTAAATTCCGCGGCCGCGTCTCCTGCGGTAATATATTCAGCCAGCCATTTAAATTTTGCTCGAAAATGATTTATTCATCATTGTTCTTAAATTCTATGAGATAGGAACATGAAACTTTCACTAAAATGATCTTAAAAGGTGGTTTTATAACCTTACCTTATAATATGAGCGCCCTTTATATCTTCAATGGAAGCAGGTTTTTTAGTATTTGAGCAGTGAATGGTACGCCTTGAAGCATGAAACTTTCACTAAAATGATCTTAAAAGATGGTTTTTATAACCTTACCTTATAATATGAGCGCCCTGTATCTATTTGAGCAGTGTAAGGAAGGCCTTGAAGCATTCGTGTAACCCAACGGTGCCCCACATTCATCGCTCCGATATTGCGTATCTTTTCTTTTGCTCTTTTTTTTAACCACACAGCTTCTGTGCGGCCTAGCCCTCTTCCCCGTGAGGGGTATAGTTCAAGGAAATGTCCTTCCGTGAGCAGTAAAGCTAGTCAGGTCAGCTGCAGTAAATTCAACGTTACGAGTTATCATAACAAGGGGTTGTTGCTATGCCTTTGATATTCCATCCATTTTGGCGGCAGGAGATGTCGTAGGGGTGACCACAGAATTCATGAAGTTATTCTAAGAACTGTCTGGTATCTAGTGAACGAAAGTAGAGCTTAGCTGGCTCAAAAAAATATTTATGGTCATCCCTCGAAACGACCACCAAGGTCAGTACGATAAAATGGAGTCAACTGGAGCGATAATACATGAAGGAATGAGTTCCTTTTCCCTCCCCCACACACATCCGTATCGTCTCAGGGGGTGACCACAGTGTTCTGCCTTAAATTGTGGCGTTTTTCTAAGAACTGGGCCTTTGTACTGTGCGAAATCAATCGATCTGGCAAGAATAAATGTTTGGACATCCCTCTTCTAAGAATTCCAATTGAGTGTGTTAGTGTGGCCAGCTCAGGGCAATATGATATTATAAACACAGCACATATCACGTCTCTGCTGTTTATACCTTCATAGCAAAGAAAATACGCCATTGAATGAGGAAACCGCTACCAGAAGCAACACGAATTTGCTGCAAGACAGGCATATGTAACGATGACTTAGCTCAGCTAAACTCGTTGGCTTAGTATACTCTGTTCTTGTGACAACAGGCCAGCGAAAAATCTAACAATCTACAGCAAAACCATCAATTATTATGGGCGTTATAACATAGGTGTGCAGCTGGACGAAACATACACGTCGAACCCCCCCCAGACGATTTAAATACCTGATGAAACATACACATCAAACCACGCCAATGGGTTAAAACATACTCGCAATGCACATTTATAAACCTCATACATACATGTCATTGAAACAAAAATTGTTTCATTGAAAAGAAAATGGCTCCTGACTTGTGTTGCATACCTCATATTTTAATAGTAACACTTATCATGAATTCCCTTTTTTGAAAACAGACATGAAAAATATTGCAAAATCTCATCTGCCGAGATAAAACTCACCATTCAAAGTAAGAAAACATAGCTGGGTACTGCAAAAGGAACAAAGATATTATGGATGGACTAGCATTCAAATCAACACAAATCACAAAATGGTCCAAGTCGTTGTCAGCTTATGATAATCCACTTGTACTATCCTGAGCCAGATCAATCCAATCCTTCGAACGTATGTGGGTCTTTCGTTAAAGCGGGACAGTACAGTCCAGACGTAGTATGCCAACCAGTTGGCAAATCTGTTTCTGCTTTGTATACCCTGATCTTCTGAGCTCCAGAATATAGAACAGAAGAGGGGGCTCGCCGGCTTGAACCCTCACCAGGCACAGGCTAAATGGAAGCTATATATTCCCTCAAAACGTTGGTATGCACTTAACCAGACTACATGATTTCACAATGCTCACAATCACAATATGAAGGACCGTCTACACTAAGATTTTACTGTTTTACTCACTCCTTTCACAGGGAACCGGGATAGTGCGGTCAGTATAGCGACTGGCTACGGAATGAACGGCCTAGTGGTTGGAGTTCAAGTCCCGGTAAGAGCAAGAATTTTCTCTTCTTGTCGTCGTCCAGACCGGCTCTGGGCCCACCCAGCCTATACAGTGGGTACCGGGGGCTCTTTTTATGGGGGGTTAAGCGGTCAGGGCGTTAAGCTTACTGGTTACCTCCAACTAGTGCCGAGGTCAAGATAATGTTGATCTATACATCCCTTCCCCCATACGTCTTCATGGTGCAGTGCTTAATTAGTTAAATACAGGGACTTCACCCTACCTTACTCACGCCTCCCCCCACCCCGATCTTACAAAACCCAACGAAATCTTAATACCTGATAAAACGTGCAAAATACAAAAATATATCAAGAGCTAAATTTCGAGCTTATGTTTATAGCAGAGCATTGATTCTTCATTAATTCACTATCATTTATATCCTTGACAGATGGCAACATTTCTCAACCAGAGTGAACACAGAGGAACATTGATTAGTTTGGGTTTACAACACCATCGACACAAACTGCGCCGTCTTCACATGGGGCTAGGTCCATCTGTGGCCGAAATACCGATTGATTCAATCTACCCCACTTCCACAACGAGAAAGAAGTTTATAAATTTGTATTTAAGTGGATAATATTAATTCCATCTAGTGTAACCAGCTTAATTTAAGTATATATATATATACATATACATTTTCACATGTTTCTGAACCCCATACAAGGAATTTTACCATTAGAAATTAAGATTTATTAATGTGAAATTAAAAGCTTTCTGGCCCTATGCACGTATTACAGGCGATTTATCTCAAGTTTTTCCAACATTGTTAGTCTAGTTAGCGGTTTAACTAACGGAAGAGAAGCCTTCCAGTTGATTCCATAGGTGGAGGCCACTTTCCAAACACTAAAGGGAGCCCTATGTGCTTGCCCCAAGCCAGGTGAGAGGTTTGTTGTGGACACAGATGCATGTAACTTCACGATTACAGGCCACTCCATAGCTCAAGTGGTTAGTTGCTGGCTCCCACTGTGGCGGCCCGGGTTCGATCCCGGGTCTGGTCAAGTGGGATTTGTGGTGGACAAAGTGGCGCTGGGGTAGGTTTTCTCCAAGTACTTCGGTTTCCCGTGCCAATCTTCACTCCGCCAATTGCTCCACAATCACCCTCACCTATCATCTGGGGCTGCTACAATAGGCCAGAAGTGGCCGCAGTACAAGGGACTTAGTCCCTCCCCACTAGCATTAAAAACAAAAACAAAAAACTTCGGGACTGGAGGAGTACTCTCTCAAATACAGGACGTACAGGAGCGTGTCATATCTTACTACAAGACGCTAAACAAAGCAAAGAGAAACTACTGCGTCACCCGACGAGAACTACTTGCCATAGTGAGGACACTGTTACATTTCCAAGTACAATCATTCACGGTTACAATTACTGTTCACTGACAGTGAACTCAAGTCATGTAACATAACAGGATCTTATCTGTACCAAGATTCTGCTGTTCTAGGAACAGAAAGGGTGGGAACTGTTTGCTGTGACATGGAGCAGGTATTGTCAGGCCATTCTATGAGGTTCTGTAGGAAAGTTCCCTGACTAGGTCAAAACTTGCTCAATTTTTGCTGCTATCTCCTTCAAAATAGTCTCCTTGGGAACGTATACAGCTATCCCATTATTTTTTTGCAAGCTTTAGAAACACCATGGTAGTCATTTTCCTTAATGCTGTAGAGGCCCACTTCTGTTCCCTTTGGTTATCGAGCACTGCTTCAAAATGTCGACACTTGAATTTCATTTTCAATTTGGGATGCAAAGCAAAATCACAGGGGTTAAGTCCAGTGAGTAGGGAGGATGGGGAACGATAACCATGTTGTTACTCACAAACTCTGTTGTTTTCAGGGATGTGTGTGCAGGCACATTGTCATGATGAAGGAGAAATATAGTGCACATTCTAATTTTCTGTTAAGATCTCCTGGCAAACTCCATAACTGATCCAAGCGGTGTCTAGGAGCTCATGGATTGTTCGATGATGGTGTTTGTGGATGAGTTGTAGAACTTTCTGAACATTTTCTGAATTTTTCTTTTTTGGTGACTGTTTGCTCAGAATATTCGTCATCTTCAGCTGACATTCAACAGGCCTTGAAACGTGAATGTCATTCAAGAACTGCTGCCCAGCTTAAGGATCATTCTCCAAAAGCCTCACAAAGAATTTCAAGGATTTCGGTAGCGGATTTACCAAGCTTCACATAAAACTTGATGCAGACACACTGCTCAATTTTGCCATCCATCACAGACAAAACGAAACGAGNAAAACGAGCAAGAATTCGGAAACCACTCAAATAAAACCAGTGTGTGTTCACATCGCGGTGTCACTTGGCAGACTGATGCAGTCGGCCTCCCCTCTCATCTTTTACTGAGACAGTTACAGAGATAGCAGTCCGGGAACTTTCCGATACCACCTCGTATTTCCAGTTTTCCATTTGTCTTGAGCTTCATGACTCTACATTCATACTCTGCTACTGCAGTACAAGCATATATGTACAGTCATCTAGTATGAATTTCAGGAGAAAGAGAAGAGACAGAACCAACACATGACCGTGGCTGAGATAGCTGAAACATCTGGCGAAACGAAGAATGATGAGACAACTATTCCCGGTGCCACTGCACCACAAAATGTATAAACGAGGTCAATGAATAGTCCTCTGAGTC